GCTCTACCACTGAGCCACCTTCCCAGCCCCTCTTTAAACTTTTTTAAAATATAGTTTTATTGATATAATTATGGTGTTATACAGAGGGTTATCATTTCAAAATTCAGGCAATGTATACATTTATTATTTTGGGGGGTGGGTTAGTCATAGGGCTTGTACTCAGGGCCTGGGCGCTGTCTCTGAGCCTTTTTTGCTCAAAGTTAGTTATCTATCACTTTGTGCCTGAGCTCCACTTCTGCTTTTCTGGTAGTTTTTTGGAGGTACAAGTCTTAAGACTTTCTTGCCCATGCTGCCTTTGAATTGCAATCCTCAAATCTCAGCCTTCCGAGTAGCTAGATTACAGGCATGGGCTCCCCACATCTGACATATACACCTCTTTTTTGGACAATGTTACTCCATCCTTTGCTTTCTCCCAATTTCCCCCTGCCATCCCTGCTCCCAAGTTGCACAGTTCATTTTCCACATAGTATATGCTGAATACCATGATTGCATTTGTTCATCTTCTTCCCTCCCTTTCTGCACTCCTCCTTTATCCCCCCCCCCAAAAAAAAATAAAGCACACAGAAACAGCAACATAAATAACCCATGTTGTCCAGGCTCTCATGACTCACACATGTAATCCTAGCTGCTCTGGACGCTGAGATCTGAGGATTGCAGTTCAAAGCCAGTGTGGGCAGGAAAGTCTGTGAGACTCTTTTTTTTTTGTTAGACATGGGACTTGAACTCAGCCTGAGTACTGTCCCTGAGCTCTTCAGCTCAAAGCTAGTGTTCTACCACTTGAGCCACAGTGTCACTTCCTGTTTTCTGGGTTGTTGATTGGAGATAAGAGTCTCACAGACTATCCTGTCTGTGCTGGCTTTGTATTGCAATCTTCAGATCTCAGCCTCCAGAGTAGCTAGGATTACAGGTCACCAGCGCCTGGCTCTGTGAGACTCTTATCTCCATACCAGAAAAGCAGAAGTGGAGCTGAGGCACAAAGTGATAGAGAACTAACCTTGAGCAAAAAGGGCTCAGAAAAAGTGCCCAGGCCCGGAGTTCGAGCCCTATGACTGACCCACCTCCCAAAAATAATAAATGTATACATTGCCTGAATTGTGAATGATAACCCTCTGTATAACACCATAATTATATCAATAAAACTATATTTTAAAAAATTTTAAAGAGCAAAATAAAGTTATAAAAGAGCTCTTAAAGAAGATTCAAACAGACAACTTAAGAAAGGAAATAAGTTCAAGAAAGTAATCAACACAGATAAGATATTCAGCAAAGGACAAGGAGATTCTGGAAACAAAAACAAAGACAAAAACACTGAATGTAAATGTTGGAAATGAGAACCTCTGTAAATCACAAATAAAACACAGAGCAGAAGGCATCATTAGTAGACTAGAACAAGCACAAGATAAAACATTGAGGTAAGACTGCAGAAATTCTGTACTCAGCGAAAGAGAGGGGTTGTGGGGAGAACAAGCATGACCACAGCCTTCAAAGATTCTGGAACACAAGCAAGAGACCAAACTTTAGAATCTCTGGAGCAGAAAGAGTTGAGATACAAACTAAGAGTATAGAAAACCCATTTCATGATTGTATATTTCACCCAAACTTTGGGAAGAAATGGAAATCCACATACAAAATACTCAATAGACATGGCCAGCAAAGGACCTCCTGTATCACATTATATTAAAATGCCAACACTAGAGAGCAATAAAAAGATATTGAGAGCTACAAATGAGCCCTGACCCCCAAACTTGCTTACAAAAGTAAACCTAACAGCATCACCTCAGATCTTTCAGCAGAAACATACCAAGCCTCAAAGGCACAGAACAATATATCTCCAATACTGATGGAGGAATAAGGACCTTCTAAGATAAGCATGAACTAAAGTAATTGATACCCATTAAGTAGTATGGCAAACCATACTGGAGACCCCATTCAGAAGAGGAAGAGGGGCAGGAAATGTGACTTAGTGGTAGAGTGCTTGCACAGCATGCCTGAGGCCCTGGGTTTCATTCCTCAGTACTATATAAAGAAAAAATAAATAAAATTAATAAAATTAAAAGAGAAAAAAATTATTAAAAAAGAGGAAGAAAGACAGTCACAAAGGAGAGCTCAGGAAAAAATAAACTTCCCAAGAAAAATAGAAGAAGCATCAGCATGCAGCAAGGATCAAACATGTCCAACTCAGCAGACTAAAAACCCCTAAGATGAATAAGAGAGAAAATAAGAGAGAGAACATAAAAGCAACACTCAACTCAACCTTGGGGAACCAAAGAAGACACAGGAAACAGGAAACATATTTCAACCATAACCTTGGATCATTTCAATGCCTCACCTAGTCCTGATGACCTTCAAGGATAGGTAAATAGCAAATAATAAAAATGTAGCAGATGCTTGGGTAAAATTTATTCGTTTCAGATGGTGAGGGTTTCATCTAGTCAGTACAGAAGCCTGGTTTCTCCATGAGATTTCCTGGGTTCTACTGTTCTGGATGTTGAAGTGAAAGGTACAGTACATTTCTATATTTCTCTCTCCCTTACTAGTTAATAAACTCATACAGCCTCAGGGGGGCATCTGTGGAGGAAGAATATTGTTGAGACTGGGTGATGATTATTTCTGATTGTTTTCTTGATGCTGTTGAGAAGTGCCTAGGGGATTAATAAAGTATGTCTCTGGGTACAGTTATAAGGATTTTTATAGGAAGGTGTGTGTAGAGGGAGGGAAAGGCTGCCCTGAATTGTATGTGGCAAAGGCAGAGATAGAAAAAAAGGGGGAAAAGGAGAAAGTGTGCTAGTAAAAGCATCTCTCTCTCTCTCTCTTTCTCTCCCCCTCTTTCCTGGCTGCCATGAGGTGAGATGGTTTTCTTCACCCTACTTTACTGACAGAAATGTTCTGTCTCACTATTGGCACCAGAAACAGCAGGCCCAAGGAATATGAGCTGAAAATTTTGAAACCATGAGCCCCAATCAAAATTTTTCCTCCTGTAGGGGAGGGAAATTTTTTCCCCTCCTTTAAATCATTTTTTTTCTCTTAGGTATTTGGTCACATTGATGAAAATCTGGTTGAAAGTTGTTATCACCTCTGTAAACATTCCAGCTTTCTCCCCATTTCCAAATTCAGATGAGCAAGTGGAAATGGTTTGCATTTTTGGTTGCTATGTCCATTTGCTTTGGGATTAACCATCAATTGTTGAGCTTTCCCATTCCACCGAGGATGATTGCTTTGCTGTTTGTCTTGTTTTGTATCCCTACAGCTTGGCTGGACATTTTGCCCAAGTATGTCAAGTTTATACATTCATGAAGCCAAACTCAGGTTATGGGCCCCAAGAATTTGGATAAACAGTAATATGAATTTTACTCATATGCAGCTACCATACTGATTATTATTGGCTTTTGAAGGGGTACAGAAAGGTGACATTATTATTATCATCATTATTATTGAATCCAAGTCTGACTGGTTGTTACAAAAGCCAATACTCAAGAGGTGAGTTTGTGCTGGGGAGAATGGCCAGACCATGTACTAATAACCATTTTAGGAATTTGTGGTAGATGTTTTTATGAGAAGGTAAGGGGAGTAGTGAGCAGGAAAGTTGTATGTTGAGTCATATGTCCAGCTATTCTATAGACATCATTGTCATTCAAGAGATGTTTTCTTTCATTTTAAAACATGTCTAGCCAGGTGCTAATAGCTCATGCCTGTAATCCTACCTTCTAAGAAGGCTTAGATCTAGATAACTGAGGTTCAAAGCCAGTCTGGGCAGAAAAGTTGAGGCTCCATCTCTAATTAATCAGTCAAATATTGGATTGAAGACATAGCTCAAGTGGTAGATTGCCAGTTGGGAGCAAGAAAGCTGAGTGAATGTGTGAGGCCCTGTGTTCAAGCCCTGGTACTGGTACAAAAGTATTAAAAAAAGAACATTCCTATAATGACAAATAACCTTCATGTAATGGGCCAGTCTTGTAATCCTCTTTATAAACACATGGTTTCTGTGAAAAGTAAACTTTTTTTTTAATTCAAGAAAAAGATGAGCATGTCTGTGGCTCACATTTTGATGTTATTTGAGGACCTTCAGATTTTGATCAAAACGAGGTTACTGATTAGGAGGTTTGTGGACTATTTTTTTTCTTTTTCCAGTCTTAGGGCTTGAATTCAGGATCTGGCCACTGGCCCTGAACTCCTTTTGCTCAAGGCTAATACTCTACCACTTGAACTGTAGTGCCACTTCCAACTTTTTCTGTTGATGTTGTACTGAGGAATGGAAATCAGGACTTCATGCATGCTAGGCAAGCACTAAGCCACATCTCCAGCCTGGATCAATTTTATGTCCCTCTATTAATCTTAGGATAGCAGACTCAAGTATTTTAATCATTTACAAAATTAAAAAGAAATTAGATTATGTAATGTTGGGCAAAGGAAAAAACAAAGAAAGACTTTTATAAGAGGTAATTTTCAAAGTCAAGCTCATCTCCTAGTAGAGGTATACAACAACCTTTATTGCTATTACTATATGCTTACACAAATATTATAAATATCGGTGTGTTTCTCTTTTGGTTCTTTTCTAAGTAGTTATTGATTTTGGAGAGATATACCTGTTTTCAGCCTCTTTGAGATCTCTCCCTCCCTCCCTCCCTCCCTCCCTCTCTCTCTCTCTCTCTCTCAGTTGTGGGGCTAAGCTTTTTCACTCACTGCTATCACTCTACCACTTTGAGCCATAGGACCACTTCTGGTTTTTTGGGAGTCCGTTGGAGAGAGGAATCTCATGGGGATGTTCCTGACTGGGCTAGCTTTGAACTGTGATCCTCAGATCTTAGCCTCCTGAGTAGTTAGGATTACAGGTATGAGCCAACAGCACCTGGCTTTGAGATGTCTCTTTTCTCTGTGGGTAAGACGTAAGATTTGTATTGGTTTTGGTCCTGTGATTGCTACACAAATATTTTTGGTTTATAAGAGAAAGAGTAAAAAAAAAAAAAAGATTTTGTATTGGAAGAAATCTTTACTCTTTATCTTGGCCAAATGTAGACAATAAGATATTGGAAGAAATATTTGCTTAGTGTTTTTGTTTTTATTTTTTTTTGTTTTTTGTCAGTTGTGGGGCTTGAACTCTGGGCCTGGCGCTGTCCCTCAGTTCTTCAGCTCAAGGCTAGCGCTCTACCATTTGAGCCACAGCACACTTCCTTGCTTAGTGTTTGCTGGAATTTATTTTTAGATTAGTAAGTATGTTCTGGAGCTAGATCAAGGCAGTGAGTGTAGAATATCTCAGAGTGCCAAATCCCATTATTTCCCTTATACTCTTTGTTTTATCTTCATATAAATATATATATGTGTGTGTGTGTGTGTATATATATATATATATATATATATATATATATATAAATGTGTGTGTATGTGTGTGTGAGAGAGACAGAGACAGAGACAGAGAGGGAGAAAGACAGTACTAGGGCTTGAACTAAGGGCCTGGGCCCTGTGTCTAAGCTTTTTCATTCAAGGCTAGCACTCTACTGATTGAGCCATAACTTAACTTCCAGATTTTTGGTGGTTAATTGGAGATAAGAGTGTCATGGACTTTCCTGCTAGGGCAGAACTGTGATCCTCAGATCTCAGTCTCCTGAATAGGTAGGATGACAGGCATGAGCCACTGGGGCCTAGCTTTTATATTGTATTTTAAGTGATCAGATAACATGGCAACAAAGACAAGAGATGTCCCTATGACACTATAGAGACCACTGAGTTATCCAAGGGCCATATCCAGCCTCAAGCTTCTTGCTGATTAGTCTAGAGCTGATTCTTTTAGGATCAATCACCTCAGGAGTTTGAGATCTGAGGGCTTTGGTTCAAAGCCAGTCTAAGCAGGAAAGTCTGTGAGACTCTTATCTCTCATAAACTATACCCCACCCCCAGCTTCCATAGTATATTCCTGGAGGCCCTGGACCACTGCATACCAAAGTAGTTGGTTCATGTTCGTTCATATGATTACCAAAGAAGCTCTTGTCCCAATTAAAGGTTAAAATTGTTATCTGGGTGCTGGTGGCTTGTAATCCCAGCTACTCTTAGAAGGCTGAAATCTGAGGATCATAGTTCAAAGCCAGCTGGGTCAGGAAAGTCTGTGAGACTCATAATATTCAATTAACCACCCTTAAACTGGAAGTGGTGCTGTGGCTCCAAGTAGTAGAGTGCTAGCCTTGAGCAAAAAAAGCTCAGGGATAGTGACTAGGCCTTGAGTTCAAGTCCCAGGACTGGTAAAAAAAATGTTGAGAAATGCTTATTCTTCCATCAGAGGAGGTGTTAGGGGTGCTAAGTTGGGGTGGATAGAGATACACCCAGAATAAAAAAGAGGAACAGTTTGGGGCTGGGAAAGTGGCTCAGTGGTAGAGTGCTTGCCTTGCATGCATGAGGCCCTGGGTTTGATTCCTCAGCACCACATAAGCAGAAAAAGCCAGAAGTGGTGCTATGGCTCAAGTGGTAGAGTGCTAGCCTTGAGCTGAAGAGCTCAGAGACAGCGCCCAGGCCCAGAGTTCAAGCCCCACAGTGGCAAAAAAAAAAAAGAAAAAAAAGAGGAATAGTCTATGTTATACTGGCTCATTCATTCATTCTTTTATATGACATTCTGTTACATGATGCTTGATAGGAACATCATTCAGCATTCATCATATGTAGTTGATTTAGCCCATCTCCTCACAGAGTGAACTGAGTTTCTGCATTCTGGGACACAGACTTCTTAAAGAATAGTAAGAAAAATCCTTCAGGCTTCACTTGTAGTCCCATCTCTTGGTATAACACTTAAAACAATGGGTTTTTGTGGTTTAAGAAGTGATTGCTTGTGTAATTTCAAGGGCACCTGTAATAGTCAAACAAAAGCATATGGAGAAATACGTTGGTGAAACATCACCACCAATAGGAACAAAGTAGAAAAGATATATTAGAGATGCTCATGCCTTATAAAACATATAAAAACGACTTCCAGAATTATACAATGCAGGTCCTCTCAATGTATTCCATAAAGGATACCAAGATTAGATAGTAAAAGCATTCTTCCATCTATTTCTTGAACAAAATGTTTATAAAACACCCATTCTACAATAGTCTGAAATAAAATCAGGTTGGTTTACAGGTTTTGAAATGTGAATTTTATGTAAAAAGGGCTCAATGTTAAAAATAAAATAAAAAGGGCTGGGAAGGTGGCTCAGTGGCTCAGTGCCTTGCACGCATGAGGCCCTGGGTTTGAATCCTCAGCACCACATAAACAGAAAAAGCTGGAAGTGGTGCTGTGGCTCAAAATGGTAGAGTGCTAGCTTTGAGCTGAAGAGCTGAGGGGACAGTGCCCAGTCCCAGAGTTCAGGCCCCACGACTGACCCCCCCAAAAATAAAATAGAAAAGAAAAGGGGGCTGTGGATGTGGCTTAGTGGTAAAAGGCTTGCTTAGCATGCATGAAGCCCTGGGTTCGATTCCTCAGTACATATAAACAGAAAAAGCCAGAAGTGGCGCTGTGGTTCAAGTGATAGAGTGCTAGCCTTGAGCAAAAAGAAGATCAGGGACAGTGCCCAGGCCCTGAGTTCAAGTGCCAGACTGGCAAAAAAAAAAAAAAGGCAGGTTACTGGGCATTACTTTTGAAAGACCATTCAGCTTTTTTTTTGGTTTAATTTGTGTGTGTATGTGTGCTGGTCCTGGGACTTGAACTTAAGGCCTGGATGCTGTTATAAAACTAGCCCCACTTCTGGGTTTTGGGGGGTAGTTTATTGGAGATAAAGAGTCTCACAGATTTTCTTCCCAGCCTGCCTTTAAAAAAAATTGTCAGAAATACTTTACAGCAATGCTTCTTAACATGGTCACACAAGATAGCCAGAGGGGATATTTTAAAGTCACATTCTTGTGAATTATTTTAGATTTTTCTGGGAAAACCCAGCCATCATGATTTCTCATACTGATCCATTAGATTGTCAGCGGTTGAGAAATACCATTATAAGAGAGCATTCATTATTGTGGTGTTAAACCACTAAATATAATGATGAAGTAATTGTCGCCCCTCAAGATTTTTTTGCACAAATCACTCCCCAGTTGGCATGAAAGGCAACTCCAAGATGTGGGCAAGTTCTGTGAGACTTCACTTAATCTTGTTATGCGAGTCTTTATTGGACTCTGTACTGTATAATCACGATCGTCTTGTCTATCTAAGGTCACAAATGTAGAAACTCTAGAAATGAAGAACGTTTTTAAGTTTACAACTGGCTCCAAATGGATACATTGACCAATATAAAATTATTAAGATATGAATGAGTACAGTATTTTGGTAAATAGAGCCAGAACAATTCTGTGCAAAGAGCATCTTTCAGGTTGAAAGTTGACTGTTTTACCTGTGTTTCTTCACAGGCTTTTAAGGAGCAGTTCTGCAGTACTCTAACAATAGCAAGTTTCATGGTCATGAGAGCAAATCGTCCTCCAATGCAGTTTCTAGGTCCACCTCCAAAGGGCAAGTATATGCGAGAATCAATGCTATCCTTGTTTTTCTTGCTGAACCTGGTAGGTGAAAACAAGTTAGTAAAACAGAAATCCAAAGGGGTATATGTCCGAGGTTCTTATTTGAACCCCTCAAAAAGTCAATTAGAAGCCAGATACCAGTGGCTCACACCTGTAATCCTAACTACTCAGGAGGTCTGAGATCTGAGGATTGTGGTTCAAAGCCAATCAGGGCAGGAAAGCCCATGAGACTTATTTCTAGGTAACCACAAAAAAAGCTGGAAGTGCAGCTGGGGATCAAAGGGTAGAACTCTCAGCTGTAAGCAGAACAGCTCAGGGACAGTACCCAGGCCCAGAATCAGTACCAAAAAAAAAGTCAAAGAGAGAAAATTTTTTTGGTGGGCTAATTATTGGAACTCTGCTGTGATTATGTAATCATGAGAATTGTAAGCAAAAATCCTTCCTTGAGCTTTTCACTTACAAGAGCTCTGGGTCTTGTTGAGACCAGATAAGATGAATGCTGTTTTAAAAACATAAACAATTATTTCTTTGTTTTGAGTTATAATATGTCATGGAGAGGTTTATCCTGATTTGGTCTGTTTTGTATTCTAAATGCCTCTTGTATCTGAACGGAGTTATTTTTCCAAGTTATTGAAATAAACCAGATGTTCCACAACAAATGATATCTACATAATGTATATATGTATATAATCTCTATGTATGTAAATGGAATTTTACGCAGCCATCAAGAAGAATGGAATTATGTCATTTGCAGAGAATGGATGCCCCTAAGAAATATTCTAGTGAACAAAGTAAGCCAGGCCCAGAAAGACACAGGGAACCTGTTTCTTCTCCTATGTGGCTCTTAGACCTAAAATACAAGCTCCCATATAACCGCATAGACACATATGTTTCTCTATATGGTCGAGTACATACAGGAGTGAAACTCCATGGAGTAAATCTTTTGAACTATTAACAGATAGTTGTGCAAAATGCATACCAGGAAGCTGAAATGAGATCATCAGGTAGAAGGGAGTGAGAGAAGAGATGAATGAATGAAAATGGGGATAGGACACAAATACAGCAGGAATACTCAATGGCCATGTTTGATAGAGGAAGTGGGGAATAGAAATGGGTCGGAGGAGGGGTCAAAGGGGAGGGGGGAGAATGATGGATGAAGCGAATCTTGAACAAGAAGCAATCAACACTTACATAGACATGGTGAACTGCAATCAACACTTACATAGACATGGTGAACTGTAACCCCCGTACATAAGCTGTTGAATTTCAGAAAAAGAATGACTGTAACTATAAAATCTAAAATGGATGCAGGATATGCTCTCACAGAAATGAAACCGACTGAAGAAAGACTGAAGGTTCCAGCCCCCACTCATTGTTTGTTGGCCATTTTTCATTTAAAAAAATGGGAGAAGGGCTGGGAAGGTGGCTCAGTGGTAGAGCATGCATGAGGCCCTGGGTTCGATTCCCCAGCACTACATAAGCAGAAAAAAAAAGCCGAAGTGGCATTGTGGCTCAAGTGATAGAGCACTAGCCTTGAGCTGAAGAGCTGAGGGACAATGTCCAGGCCCAGAGTTCAAGCCCCACAACCAGACCCCCCCAAAAAAATAATAAAAAAATAAAAAAAAAGAAAATGGGAGAAAATGCTTATATTTATGTTTTCCTTCCCTTTTTTCTTTCCTTTTTAGTCTACATTTTTTTTTGGTTGTTGTTTATTTGCAAAGGGGCTGGAACTCAGGGCCTAGGTGCTGTCTCTGAGCTCTTTTGCTCAAGGCTAGTGGTCTACGAGTTTGAGCCATACCTACTTCTGGTTTTCTAGTGGTTAATTGGAGATAAAAGCCTCATGAACTTTTCTGTCCCAGCTGTCTTTGAACTGTGATCCTCAGATCTCAGCCTCCTGAGTAGCTAGGATTAAAGGCATAGGCCACTGGTGCCCTGCTTTTTTTTCTTTCTCTTATTCGTTCTCATCTCTTTTCTCATCCTCCTATTACTTCTTCAACAATTTCCTTCTCCACTGTATTCATGATACTCAGTATTATAGACATGAGCCACCAGAACCAGAACCTGTTAATAATAACCTATTTGTTTTTTCATAGAAAAATGTCCATAAGGACACACAACATAATAATATACTTATTTTAAGCTGCCAGTCTATGATAGCAATCTTTTCTCCCTTAATATATGGCTTATAACATTTCCAAATGAACACTTTTTTTTGTTGTTGTTGGTCATGGGGCTTTGGTGTTGTCCCTGAGCTCTTCAGCTCAAGGCTAGTGCTCTACTGCTTGAGCCACAGTGCCACTTCTGGTTTTCTAGTGGTTTATTGGAGATCAGAGCTCATGGACTTTTCTGCCTGGGCTGGCTTTGAACTGTGATTCTCAGATCTCAGCCTCCTGAGTAGCTAGGATTACAGGCGTGAGCCACTGGTGCCCAGCTCCCAAAAGAAACTTGGAAGGAAGGAGTATCTGAAAGTGACAAGAAAACTGCAGAATCACATCTCTCTCCTTTATACTAAGGATCATGGGAATCTGTGTGAGGTGTCTTGTTGGAAGAGTAGAATCCTTTCCCATGGTTGCTGTACCTTTCTGGACGGAACTTTTCAGGTTCTGCCCAGTACTTTGGGTCACGATGAAGAGCATAGGCTGGAATTGTCACCACCATTCCCTTGGGAATGAATATCTCATTGACTTGAATATCCTTCTTACACACTCTCTCAAGTCTACTACTAACTGGAAATAATCTGAATGTTTCATTCACTATCATGTCCAGGTACTCCATCTCTACAAGCGTATCATAGGTAACAGGTGCCTGGGAAGAAAGAATAATTACATATATTATTATATATCTCATATATATAATATATGTAATAGTATTTTATATATATTATAAGCAACAGTAGAGGTTTTGAATAGGCTCAAAATACATTATATATATGTATGGAAAAGATACAGTGAAATCTCTTTTGGACAGTTAATATCTAACTAATGAAAAGAAGTAAGGTTGAAAGTAAAACAAAAAGGAAGGGATGTCTCCTAAACTAAGGTTTATGAACAGCTTCAAGTCAATCTGTGCAGTACACTGCTTTGTTAGGAAGTTCAAACAAATATAACTTGGGGTCTGAGGTGTGGTTCAGGTGGTAGGGTGCCTGCCCAATGAGCGAAACCATAATAAATGGAGTTTGAGTCTCTATCTTGGAAAAAAAGAACCCCATAACTCATATTGGTAAAAATACCTTTGTAAATGTATCTATAAAGGAATTTTAATAGCAATAATGTGCTTTGACCTGCTTAATGGTCTACTGAGATGTGTGAGGAGTAGATTATGAATGTGGGAGGTATTTAGTACAATCTAACATGTTTTGAAATTTCTTTGTTGGGTGAATGGGCATGATCAATAGACTAGAAACATTATTCTCAAGATGTGTGTGTGTGTGTGTGTGTGTGTGTGTGTGTGTAATTGCTGTCCTTTTTTCAAGTAGAAGACCCCTTTGTTCCCCCCAAGCTACAACAGCCAGCCTAGCCCAAGAGGACAGAGGTCTTCACGCCCCACACATCAAGCTGAGGCAGTAATGGAAGGCCAGTGTGGTTAGTGTTTGCTTATCCCTTGGTGGGAAATGGAAGATTTTCAGAATGCAGAAGTTAAAAGTTGACCTTGGGCTCCAGACTCCAGGGGTCACATGTGACTTCTTCACCTCTAGTCACATGACTGCACAGTGAAGATGAGTGGGCAGAGATGAGTCAGCTGAGACCAGTGAATGTATAGCAATGCCAGCAGAGAAAACTGTCCAGCCATCTCAAGTGAAAAATGCCAATTACCAGGCTATGGATGGTTTGTGGCTGTGTCTTATTGTGGTAAATAGTTAATGGATGAATCAGCACTATATTATAAAGGTCTTTTCTTCCTCCTTCCTTTTTCCTTTCCTTTCCTTTCCCCTCCTCCCCTCCTCCCTCCCTCCCTCCCTCTCTCTCTTCCTTCCTTCCTTCCTTCCCCCTCCTCCTTTCTGTTCTTTCCTTCCAATACTGGGACTTGAAGTCAGGATCTCTTGCTTTAGATAAGCTTTTTTATTTTTGGCTCAGGTTGGCACCTTACCACTTAAGCCATGTCTCCACTTTTGGCTTTTTAGTGGTTAATTGGAGATAAAAGTCTCACAGACTTTCCTTCTCAGTTTGGCTTTGAACCAGCCTCCCAAGTACCTAGGATTATTGGTGTGAGCCACCACATCCCTAAAGATTTTATATTTCTTTGAGTTAGCATCCATTACCTATGCTTCTTTTTTGGTTGATCTTTTTTTTTTTTTTTTGTCAGTCATAGGGCTTGAACTTTGGGCCTGAGTACTGTCCCTCAGCTCTTCAGCTCAAGGCTAGCACTCTACCACTTGAGCCACAGAGTCACTTCCGGTTTTCTGGTGGTTTATTGGAGATAAGAGTTTCACAGTTTTTCCTGCTCAGGCTGGTTTTGAACCTTGATCCTCAGATCTCAGCCTCCTGTGTAACTAGGATTACAGGCTTGAGCCACCAGTACCCAGCTTGATCTCTTTCTACATAGACTTGATAAAGGCAGTGACACATTCTATTTGCAAAATGAAAAGGCATTCATGTTAAGGCTTCCCCTCTTCCTTCCTCTTCTGGTGCCATCTACTTACCTTATTGGGCAAAGCTCGATCAATCTCTTCCTGTAGCTTCTTTTGGACATCTGGGTGAGTGGCCAATGCATACATAACAAAGGAAAGAGCATTGCTAGTGGTCTCATAACCAGCCAAAATAAAAGTAATGGACTGGGCTATGAGTTCTGAATCAGACAGAGCTAAGGTGAGAGGAAAGACATCTCAGGAAATGCAGGTCAATGTAGAACATAACAAACACAAATACAATTTTTCAAATTCAATGGTATGCAATTCAGACTGCTTGTCATTCTGCTATTTATCTAATAAAACAAGAAAAAAGCAAAATTATTATTTATTATTATTACTATTATTATTATTAATTATTTTCTGCCAAGCCTGGAGTTTGAATCTGGGCCTGAGCTCTGATCCTGAGCTTTTGTGCTCAAGGATGGCACTCGACCACTTGAGCTACAGCCCTACTTCTGTGTTTTTGGTGGTCAGTTGGAGATAAGAGTTTAATGGACATTTTTGCTAAAGCTGGCTTTGAACCCAAATCCTCAGATCTCCAACTCCTGAGTAGCTAGGATTACAGACATGAGCCTCAGCACCCAGATAGTCCACTTTAATAATAAAAATAAGGAGAAGGGAGAATAGAGGAAGAGGAAGTGGGAATGGAGGAAGCAGGAAGAGAGGTGATGGACTTCCTGAGATGATCAACATTTTACAAAAAAGGCATAGTACAAAAAATAAAATAATGTAACATTCCACTGAAATAAAGAAGCATGGAATAATCTGCCATGCAGTCTAGTGCCAAACATAAATATATAAATAATTAGTGGAACAAGAAAGTCTTCTTTTTTTTGGGTCCGGTCGTGGGGCCTGAACTCTGGGCCTGGGCGCTGTCCCTCAGCTCTTCAGCTCAAGGCTAGCGCTCTACCACTTGAGCCACAGTGCCACTTCCGGCTTTTTTCTTATGTGGTGCTGAGGAATCTAACCCAGGGCCTCGAGCATGCAAGGCAAGTGCTATACCACTGAGCCACCTTCCCAGCCCCAAGAAAGTCTTCTTTTAACAGTCATCTCAGTAATAATGATTTCTGTCAAAAATCGCTAACATATTAATTAACAATTTTAAAAAATCCATAATTTTTCAATAAATTACAAAGAAAACTGAAAGTATGAGAAGGAACGGGATTTTTACGCTGTTTCTGAGATTTGTCCCCCCCCCCCCAGCTACTATTTAATTAAGAAGGAAAAGCCAAACTTTACAGTAGATTAAATTAATGGACACACATCCACCAGTATTTCCAAGAAATATTATTAACATGGGACTCTGTGCTTCTGGCCCAGATGTCTAGGTATAAATTTGCTGAAGAGGCTCTGCATCTGTGGATTTCTATGACAATGAGATTTGGCATTTGTTTTTAATATCAGTGATCCATACTGATTGACTTCGGTGGTAGGAAATGCTTGTTTATAGTTGCCCTTGGAACTTTGACCTTTATGACATTTAAAAAGTACTTCTGGTTACCAGTTGTAGTCTGCAAATAACTATGTTTCTAAATTGCTTTTTCCTGGAAAATCTCTTGTACATTCTCAGAACCCTCCTCCCTCATTGATTTTCCATTTGTAGATCATGACATAACCTTCAGTTACCTTTATGGAACGCTGTATTTTTGTGATTCTGTGAGTTAATCATTAGCTGAAGAAAATCCATTCGATTCTGGAACCAGGAAGGGAAATTATAGAGAGAGTCAATCAGCAATGTACTGTTGAGCCTCACATCTGAGAATATGACACTTATTTATTTTTATTTTTATTTATTTATTTAAGTCATTTGTGGGGCTTGAACTCAGGGTTACTTCTGGTTTTCTGGTGGTTAATTGTAGATAAGAGTTTCATGTACTTTCCTGCCAGGGCTGGCTTTGAACTGTGATCCTCCATATCTCAGACTCCTGAGTACCTAGGATGACAGGTATGAACCAGCAGTGCCTGGTGGCCTTTTTTTTTTTTTTTTGAATAAAGCTAAGAATTCTAGCTTTGTTGCAGGGTACATCAGTGAACAAAACAATCTTTGAATATTTGGGAACAAATCATTCTCCTGCAATAAATTTTAGTAATCCTGTCCAATAGCATCTGGTGTCAAATGCAGTAATACTCTTGAGTATTTCTAGAAAATACTACCAAATGGTTTGTTTGAGCACATTCAAATACTTCTGTGCTTTTGGGAATTTTATATATTTTTCACTGACACCTTGAGGCCCCTGTCTACCTCCCAGACCTGGCACAATTTCTCCAGGCAACATGGTGGTAAACTGGATTAGCCATCTGGTAACCTTGATGGGTAGAGAGTACTTGGCCATTAAAGGGAGAGGGACAGGACTCCAAATGTCACTAGCTGCCTGAGATGACTATCCATTGAGTAATCTTGTCAAATAATGGGTAAGAGTTTGGGATTGTAATTATTTGTTCTCAGATTAAGATCAAGGGTAATTTATAGCAACAATGAAGTAGCTACCTGAGATGACCATCCACTGAGTAATCTTGTCAAATAATGGGTAAGAGGTTTGGGATTAAAATTATTTGTTTTCAGACTAAGATCAAGGGTAATTTATAGCAACAATGAAGTAACTGTCAAACAGGATCTTTTTAAATTCCTTGACAATTTGTTGAAATAAGGGAAATGGTAAAACGTTAGCCAGAGCATTATTTATGCCAAAGCATAGAATTTATCATGTGGGTTACACAATGTTCAATGTCCTCTCTTTGATTCATTCTCAATGGCTATTCTCAAACTTAACCTTATTTACTCATTTACTCTCTCTATGATGCAAAACCACTCTTGCTCTACATCCTGTGCCTTAAAATAGGAGAATGTGACACAGTCTGACCAAGAATCAGGAAGTGCATGTCATCCTTTTTGCCATACCAGTTTACCTTTTGTTTCTCATGGAGGTGGTTTTCTTTCATCCTGTTTATGGACTTCATAAAAAAATCAATCTCCTCTTTTGGAAACCTGGTGATATTTAATGCTTCAAAAATTGGGGTAAGGAATGGGAAGAGTGCTAAATGGGAAAGAAAAACAGAGATGATAGTGAAAAATGCCAGGAAACAATCATTTTCTAAAAGAAAATACCAGGAGAATCATCAGGCTCTCAAACAGGAGTCATTTCCTCTGTGACCTTTGCTCAGCCTTCAGGACATTGGCTGAGCGTAGGCAAATCACCCAGAGAGCCATGGCAGCGAGCTTGGCAGTGTCCTTGGCATTAGCAGTGAGTAGAACAGGACTAAATTCCCTGACCCACTTTATCCTGTTTTTGTACTGTTACTGGGCTAGTACTGTGCACTCAGGGCCTGGGTGTTGTCTCTTAGTTTTTTCATTCAAAGCTAGTACTCTATCACTTGAGCCACAGCTCCATTTCTGGCTTTTTGGTGTTTCACTGGAGATAAGAGTTTGCCAGAGTTTCCTGTCTGGGCTGGCTAGGAACTGTGATCATCAGTAATCAGCCTTCTGAGTATCTGGGATTTATAGGCATGAATCATGGGTGCTTAGCTCCTTATCCTTTTATTTGTTGGGATCAAATCTCTTTGGATGAAGAAAGACCTATTCATTTGCTGTAATTAATGATGTTATTCAAGAACAAGTATCAGGAGAGAAATAATGTAAATTCTTCAAGTATCATGGAATGAAACTTGAAACCAAAAACAAGTGAAAATTTGGCAAACTCCCCCCCCCCACACACAGCAAAAAACAAAAACACCCAATGCAAATCAAAACTGCAATGAAATGCCTGGACATGTTCACTATGATGGATATAAGAAAAGATGTGAACATATCAAGTTGTGGAAATTATGAAAATAGCTGGCACTCATGTGTGTTGGTCGAGAATGTTAAGTGGCACAGAAATTATTATTGAAAAAGTTTCTTGCTTCCTTAATAAGAATAGATTTTCTAATGATCCAGCTGTACCCAGAAGAACATGTGCAGAAGTGTTTATAACAACACTCTCTTCACAACAGTCAAAGCAGAAGTTCAAGGAATTGTCCATCACCTGATGGATGAGTAACCTAATCATGGTATATCCTGGGAGAGAAAAGGTTAAAAGATATAAGCTTCTGAATTTTGGCAAATTTTTGTGCCAGTACTGGGTATAAAATCAGGGTCTTGAGCTCTCACTTGGCTTTTTTTCCCTCAAGGCTGGCACTCTACTACTTGAACCATCCCTCCACTTCTGGCTTTTTGGTGGTAAATTTGAGATAAGAGTCTCACTGACTTTTCTGCCTGGGCTGGCTTCAAATCATGATCATCAGATCTCAGCTTCCTAAATAGCTAGGATTACAGGCATGAGCTACACACATTATCTTTTAATGTACCAAAAACTATATATTTTAGATTTTCAAGTAGGTGACGACTTAGATCCTCATTGGATGGTAATTTGAAAAGAGAGAAAGGAATTGATAGTGGAGCACATACTTATTGCAATAGCAAATGGATGGAAGAAGTTCAATTGTGAGATGATCTTGACTTTTCTTACAAAGGGGTTGTGTGGGTTGTTGAGGGAATCAATGCTCACACCGAAGGATGTACCAACAATTGTGTCCATACTGTAGGCCCCGAAGATGCTGAGCAGAGAATAGAGACATGGGAAATGAACAGTTCCATCTCTCCCTCTAATCCTTTTGTGTCTCACATTTGTGTGCACAAAGGCAAGGTGGTTCTTATGCCTGGGTAAGATCAGTGAGACTTTCTTCCCAGCTGCCCTGAGTGCTTCTGGGAACAGCCCCTTGGTCTACTGCAGTTGAAATGCCACATTTGTCTTTAAGTCTGCTCAGTGGAGGGATTTGCTGGGGGAATGCTACTCCCTTGCAAACAGCTGGAGAGTCTTTTTTTTTTTTTTTTCCAGTCCTGGGGCTTGGACTCAGGGCCTGGGCACTGTCCCTGAGCTTTTCTTTTGCTCAAGGCTAGCGCTCTACCACTTGAGCCACAGTGCCACTTCTGGCTTTTTCTGTGTATGTGGTACTGAGGAATTGGACCCAGGGCTTCATGAATACTAATTAAGCACTCTACCACTAAGCCACCTTCCCAGCCCAAACTGGAGAGTCTTGAGCTATTCACTGGAAACTGAGGGCATGTGATCCTCAAATACAGAGCCCCAATACCTATGTCTCCACTCACTCTTTCATGGTGACAGGCTTGCCTTTCTCTGCCTCTCGTCTCAGGTTCTTCACCAACGTGTCTCCATACTGTTCAATGATGGGGAACATCTAGACACAAAATAAAGTTCTGGATATGTGTGGGGAAACTCGGGCCCAGAGAGCATGCGAGTTTCCCAAGAATGAAGTAATGAAATATACATTATCTATCATAGTACCTAGAAGCGAAGAGTCATTTTGAGGAATTTAGGACTCAAATAATATATTTCTTGCAACTATTATTTCTTTCTCTAGGAATCTCCTAAATCCTCTATAAGTTTTTTTTTTTAATTTATAGTATAGGGTTTGAACTCAGGCTAGGCAGGTGGCTCTAACCACTAAAATAAACTTTCAGCCTTTTTTCCCCCGCCTTGATCCTTTTTGTCACTTCTGGTCATAGCTGAGATAGAGGTATGCATCACCATGCTCAGCTTCTGTTGAGCTAGAGTCTTGCAAAAGGTTTTGGTTCAGCTGACTTAGAACTGTGATCTTCCTCTGAATCTCAGCCTCCCATGCAGCTGAAATGACAGGCCCAGGTTGAAAAGGGGTCTTATAACCTTTTAGAACAGGCTGGCCTTGAACCATGATCCTCTTGAGTAGTTAGGATTACAAGTGTGAGCTACTCTGCCCAGCTTCCATATATATATATATATATATATATATATATATATATATATATATATATACACACACACACACACACACACATATATATGTATATCTATTAGCTTATATAATTATATATTTTTTATTTATTTACCCAATTCTGAAGTCCTGGGTATCATAACCAGGGACTCTTGCATCTTAGACAAATAATCTATCAGTGAGCTACAGCCCAGACCATCATTCTGTAAATTTCCAATTAGTCATCTTAGTCTGTTACCTCTTTGAGTTTTCCAGTGGAGAACGCTGGAGTTAGCAAGGCTCGTATTCTTTTCCATTCATCATCCTTAGCTATGAAGACAGCTTTTTTCATGAAGCCCAGTGGCCCCAAAGACTGTAAAGCAAAAATCATTTTTAGATAACATAAGCTTCCGGGGTCTTTGGAGTTGTTGAGTTTTTGTTAAACAGGCATGCCTTCTTTTCTTTTCTCTCCTTCCTTCCTTCCTTCCTTCCTTCCCTTCCTTC